TTCGGTTTTTTCAAGAGTTTTTTAGGTTTTTGTCAATTTTTCTTCCAGATACATCGGAAAATTTGAAAAAACAGTGAAAACGAGCGAAAAAATTGTAAATGTTTGAATTCGCGCGCTTTTACTCACCGGGCGGCCTAGAAAAAAGCTCGTCCCTAAGGGCTTTCAGCGTATTTTTCGATGCGTTTTTCTCGATGAAGGCATTTTTCGATTTTTTTTTCTTTATTTTTATGTCAATCTACATGCATTTCTGCACATTTTGATGCAATAAAAAATTTCACCGTACACCACCTTTAAAAATTAGGAGATCAATCAATAATGATGATTAGCAATACTGTTGCAACTTAAGAAGTTTAGTACCGGTCGAAAAAATATACGAAAACGAATTTTGAGTATATTTTCGGCCATTTTGATCATTGTCAGGCAGTTGGAACTTGCTTGTCAACTTTTCGGTCACTTTAGAAAATTTTGGAGGGTCAGACCTAGATTGAAAACTTTGCATTCAATGTTCTGAAAATTCCTTTTTTCCAGATTTCTGAAAGACACCTATTTTTCTCACGTTTTTTTGGTAAGGTTTACAATCTAGGTCCATTTTACACGCCTCCAAATTTTTAAACATGATCGGAATTTTGCAAACAGACTCCTGACAGTGGTCAAAATCAATAGAAAAACACTTTTTTAAACGAAAATTAAACATTTATTAAAAAAAAACAGAGTTCAATAGTGTACTGATTAGCCAGACCTTCGTCTGTCGATCCCTTGAAAAAGATCAACAAATTCAACAAAGAGCATTTGAATTTCAGAAATTCTAAAATTCGACAAATTCTGAAATTCCAAAATCATCAATTTCCAAAACTCGTAAAATTCTTAAATTCTGAAATTTCCAAACATTTTAAATTCTGAAATCTCGAAATTTTCAAAAGTTCAAAATACCTTTTAAAAGTCCAAGATACTCACAAAATTCTAAAAATTTTGAAATTTTGAAATTTCAAAAATTCAAAGATTTTCAAAAAAAAGTTCAAAAAATAAAAGTTTTTGAAGCTTCAAAAATTCCGAAAGTTCCGAAATTTTCAAAAAATACCAAAAAATGACTTTTTCGATTTTTTTGAATTTTTCGGATTTTTTGATGTTTTGGAATATTCTGATGTTTTCAAGTTCCGAAAAATTCCAAAACTCCGAAATTTCAAAATTTTCAAGAAAGTCCAAAAATGGCTTTTCCAATTTTTGGAATTTTTAGAAAATTTCCAAAATTTTGTATTGATTAGCCAGACGAATGTTTCGTCTGTTGATCCCTTTCGCCACGTAGAGGCTCAGTACATGAAAGGGAAACAAGGTTTTTTTACCGTTTGGATCACCTTCTAAAACCCGTAGGGAGTGGAGGGAGGGGTCCCCCACCCCTAAAAAAACAAAACAAGAAGTCAGCCGAAAAACCCCTCTTTTCGGAGACCATTGTCGGTTAATTTTCAAAAGCTCCTTCCCCCTGATAAAAAGCCACATCGCATACCGCTTTTCACTGTTGTCTCAATTTTTTTAATCTTTGATAAAATCTCTTGCTACTGGGGGACGTTCAGTGAAAAACACCTAGCCATGAACCCCGAAACATGGCGACCCTTAGGGCCTTTTAGTACTTTTTCACATCGGACCAATCGACAGAAAAAAGCAAAAGAGACAACAACAAGCAGCGTAGTGCAAAGAGCTTCTTACCCGAGGAAAAGTGCCAGTGGAAATTTTCCAACAATAAAGTTCGAAGAGGCGGATTTCCCAGAGAACTGATTTTTTCCAATACGTGGAATTTTATAACGTAGCTGACAGTAGGAGGGGGCGTGACCTAATAATAATTGATTTTTTATTTATTGCGTAACGTGAATCTAAAAAAACGAAAAAATTTTTGAAGTGCTTGAAGACCCAATACAATTTGAAGTCACATTTTGAAAAGCGGCTAACAGTAAAATACAAACGTCAATCGCGCCGAAGACGCACCAGCCACAAGCGCCGGGGGCGCGGCAAGAACTTCATAACAGTTCTCTGAATTCCCATTTTCTTTTCCAGATCGGCATTTGGAAGTCTCGACCGTATTCCACTCTCCTATCTTCGCAAGTTCTATCGTCAGAAGACGACGAAACGAGATGAAAATGAGTATATGTGAGTTTCATTCCAAAATTATTGTTTTTTTTTTTTTTGCAAGTTTCGAATATTCCAGAGATGGACCATCGGAAATCGGATACCGTTCAATGTCGTTCTGGCCACTGTACTAGTTTAGCTGTCTTCATTGGAGAGAGAAATAATATAATTTATTTGAGAGAGTGTGTGTGTGTTTCTGTTCCTTTCTTTCTCATTCTTCGGTAATATATTCAGATAAAGTTTTTGATTTGATTGTATACTGTAGATGTCACCATCTTTCAGAACCCAGAGGTCTCTAGAACACACTGTCAAGTTTGATCTCCATTATCTCGGTTCATATGCAAGATATCAAAAATTTGTCAACTGATAAAATGTTTGTGATATTATGAAAAATTTGAATGAAAAACCTGGATGGACAATTGAGATGGGGTGTGTTTTAAATATCACATTTTTAAAAAATTCGTTGAATTTTTGACTTTGACCAGTCTTAATCTCTTAGCAATCGGCTCTCCAACACTCGGATTCTTTTGCTCTTTCTCCTCTTCCTCCTTTCTTTTCTCCAATTTCCTCATCTTCTCATCAACATCCTTCTTTTTCATCAGAATCTGCTGCATCATTATCATATTCGATCTTGATAACACATTATCCAAAATCTGTTTTCCTGTCTCAACAGTGCAGATTGCGACTTGTGGGGAGGGATTTGAAGACGTCGAAGGAATATTTTCTATTGGTAATGGAAGTTGTTCTGTAAAGATTTTGATTGAATTACATACGGAAACTAATTGAACACCAGCCAGCTAGATAATTGAGCACAACGTTGACGGTTTGGGTGACGTTCTATTAGAGTTTTTAAGGTGAATTGATCCAAAACTCAAGGAAAAAACTTACTTGGCTCTACTGGCTCCGGTTGGTGAAGACGCCCTTTGAACCCTGCGGGTGCTTGAATTGTCACATATCTTGTGTAAAGCATGTCTGTAAATTTCAAATCGGTTATTATTGATTAAATGAACACTTTGAGGTCGGAAGAAGTTCAAATTGCAAGATCAAATTTGCAGTTTGAATTTCTACAGATCGGGCACAGAATAATAATTAAACACCTTCGAGATCCTCCAAATTAGCCACATCACAAAGATCCGAGAAGTTGCTCGATACATCGGAACTCGAATCTTCTTCCTCTGAAACGAATGATTACTGTCAAAAATTATTGTTCAATACAAAAAGACTTACGTATGGTCTCGGCGAGTGGATTGTGGAGTTCTTTGAAATCCTCGTAGTTCTTTGGTAGACCATAGAAATGGATATGGTTCATTTTGGTGATCTGAAAAAGAAAGAAAAAAAATTAAAAAACTAGTAGAAAGGAGATTAGGAATTGAAAAGTGTACGGAGCTTAATACAAAAATGATAACATCGAAACTGGAAGATTTTCTTGTTGTTACAAAATTGTTTAATTGAATTTGGTTTCTATTCTACCGAGCACAAAACCCACAATATCTGTATATCGTTTATATTTATGATCTCAGAATTACCGCCAAATTAGTCGAAGACAGATGAATGGCACCTGAAGAAGCTAATTACAGTTTTTGTCCAGCAAAAAAGAATCGACGGGTCATTGGCGGCTATTCTACGGACCATCAACTACCTAGAGAAACCGAGTTGACTAATTGTATCACAACGACAAGAGCAGTAATGAGCACTATTTAGCAGTATTGGAATTCAAAAAAAAAACGGATTCCTAAAATCAAGGAGTCAGGGCTTACCGTAAAGCCTGTGATAGAAGGGCCTCTTATCTTTTAACTTTGAGCCGATTTTTCTCGATTCTTGTCAAAGATATAAAAGAGTTGTCAACTAACAAAATGTTCATCATAATATCAACAACATTTTATTAGTTGACACATTTTTGATATCTCTCACAGGGATTGAGATAATTGAGCTCAAATATGACACAATGAGGGTTCTTCTATTACAAGTTTTACGGTATTTTGACTCCGCCCACAAAAAGTAGAAAAACAGAAATGATGTCATAAAGTTGTATAAACCATTTATAAGGGGAGTATGGAAATTTTTGGAAAATATGGGACATGGAAAAATGGCCGAAAAAATCTGCTTTCAAAGTTAGAAATTGAGGGCGAAAGTGGCAGGCAAGAGGGTCTCAAATATCAATAAGCTCAAGGTGTTTTTAATGTATCTCTGGTCGAGACTAACAGTAAGAAATGAAGAAAAGGGAAAAGAACAAGATGACGTTGACAGGTAGGGTGTTGCACGCTGTCTAATCTATTTACGACTACTACCGGAGACATACAATGCGCGTTCTTTTAGCGTATATTGTTGCAATGACCACCAACTGGCAGCAAGAAATAGATTGATTAGAAATCAATATGGTGTGAAACTGACTATGAGAAGAGAATGAAACAAATAACAAGGAGGAAGGGTGGATAAAGGGTACTCAGTTAAAGATATCAATAATTCCAATAGTTCCAAAGAAGGTGTTCAATTAGGAAATTATGAAATCACCAGGGAAAACATTACAAAAGAAGGACTAGATTTCATAGTTTCAAATGAAAGTTCTGAAGATCAGAGTTCAAGGAATTTTATGCACGTTGTTTGAAGCAATTTCGGACGAAACTCCCTAATTTCAGATTGCTAATTATTCATGGAAACAGAAACAAACAGTTGACAGGAACTTTGAAATTCAACGTCTATTTTAAGAAACTTGCAATTTTCAAAATCGAATTTTGAAGCAACTAAGCCACTTTTGATAACTTATTGCTGAAAATAAAATCTCAAAAAAAAAGAAACGCCAAAAAATGAACGGTAAAGACAGCAGGTGTGTCGTTAGCTATCAAACGGATTGCAAAATGCGAGAAGAAACAGAGGGCAGAAAAAATGGAGAAAGGCATCGAATACTAGAAGAAGAAGAGAGTGTGACAGATAAAGAGACGTTAGAGTATTTCTGTGTTGGGTGGAACATACGTGTGTATGTATGTTTGTGTGTCTGGGACATCGAGAAACAGAACAACAACCAACCGAGGGATATGAAAAATCTTGAAATGGATTTTAGGAGAAGGAAATGATAAGGATCAAACCTTGAGGGGAATGGGCTTTGATGATGGTCTGCAGAAAAGAAAAATTTTGAAGCCTTATCAAATAGAAGGGTAGGTTTCAGGACTCTGATGTCAAATACGGTCGGTTAGAGCATCTACTAGGTCATACCGTAAAATAAGAAGGGCCCTCACCCTGCCAAGTTTGAGCTCAATTATCTCGGTTCCTTAGGGAGATATTTAGAATAGGTCAACTAACAATATGCTTATGGTATTCTGATAAAAAATTTATCAGTTGACAACTTTTTTTTATCTTTGAAAGTTTGCGAGGTAAGTTGGCTCAAAGTTAAAAGTTAGGGACCATTTTATTAAAGATAACCTTACAATTAGCAATTTTAATAGATCAACTCATTATAATGAAAATCTTTACATTTATTAGATTTTTGTTCTTCACAAACCTAAGAATGTGCCCCTTTGAAAAAAAAACTTTGTATTTCTAAAATCACAAGGACCCAATACCGTAAAAGCTCTAACCACACACACTGCACTTTGAGCTCAATTATCTTGGTTCCTATAATAGATATCAAACATTTGTCAACTCATAAAATATTGGTGATTTTATGATAAAAAATTCATCAGTTGACAACTTTTTAGTATCTTTTCAGGAACCGAGATAATTAAGCTCAAAGGTAACATATATGGTTGGCTTCTATCATATGGCTTTTCCAGAAATTTTAATTGTATTTTCAGATTGATATGATACAAAGAACGAAGAAAAATAATATGAAAAATACAAATTTTATTATCTAAATCGAAAAAGAAATATGGAAAAAAACTGTTAATATTAATAAAAATTACAAAAAAATAAACATAAACAAAGCACTGATGATACATCTGTAAAACCCAGTTAGAAAAAATTAGAGTTAGAAGAGGAAAAAATAACAAATAAAAATTTTTTTGGCAGAGAGAGAGAGAGGAATTTTTGGGGACAAAGAAGTTGAGGAGGATACAGGTTAGGCCGGGAAAAATTGAAAAAAAAAACACCGGTTGTTCGAATTAACATGAACTGGTAGAAAAGCGAAAAAAGAAAAGAAATAGGCACCTTAACCATAGCTCTAAAAGGACCTAACCCAGAAGACAAAAGCTCATTGATTAAAAAAAAGAAAAAAAAGAGATAATTTATAATATTTACACACAACGGATTCTAAGTTATATAGAATGTTCATCTAGAAGTTGTACCACTTCTTTTTCTCATATTTCTCCACAAGTTTTCCAGTTCGGGACGACAGACTCATCGCGTTGTTCTTCAAGTTTTCCGTCGCATCCACTGTCGCATTCAACTTTTCTGTTCTCTCGTTTAGATTCTGCAAAATTTTAGAGATTTTATAATTTAAAATTTTAATCTCAGAGTGTTATACCTGAAGAGCCATCGCCGCCGCTTGTCCAGCAGAAACACCTCCAGCTTGAGCTCGATCCATTTGGACAGATGGTCCGGGAATTGTACGGGCCACGCTACGCATCGGATTCATTCCAGCGTTATTTTTGACACCCATGTTCTCGGATACTGTAATCAAAGTTGTGAATAGACGATGTTGAATAGACGATGTAACACTTTATGGGGTTTTCTAGACCATTTACCATGAAGGCCTACAAAACTCAGCTTTCGAATGTTAGGCCACCCACCAAGTGAATACCAGCTTACATGCACCTGGTGTGTTTTTTAGGTCATGGTTAACATGGTGGCCTAATTTTCGCATGTTGAGTTTTCTAGGTCACCATTTTAAAATGGCATAGAAAACACGTCAGGTGATTATCAGACCATTACTTGGTCATTCAACACAGTGGCCTAGAAAAATCAACTTGAAAAAGTTAGGCCACCACTTCATGAGGCCATTTCGTAGCCAAACAAATTGGTGGCCTATTTTTTTTACAAAATTAGAGTAACGTGGCCGAACTTTCTCAAAATGATTTTTTAGGCCACCCTAGTTTATGGTCCAGAAATGGTCTGACATGCATCTGATCTGTTTTCTAGCCCGTTCACTATGGTGGCCTAATTTTTGCAAGTTGAGTTGTCTAGGCCATTTTTGTGCATTTCCTAGAAATGACCTGATATTCACCTTGTGGGTATTCTAGGCCATTTAACATGATGGCCTAACTTTTGAAAGTTGAGTTTTCTAGGCCATCATAGTAGATGGACCAGGAAAAAAAACATCGGGCAAATAGCAGTCTATTACTAGGCCATTTACCATGGTGGCCTAGAAATCCCAACTTACGAAAGTGCCCTCTAGACCACATAGCCCAAAAAACTTACAAATGGCATCAATATCATTCGGATCGTTGCGCGGAGTGCCTCCAAAGATCGACGATACACCCTGCCAAGCCTTGATTATTATTTGAAACGAAACTTCCAAGCTAATTTAGAAAACGCTCTGCAAAACTAAAAAAATCACCTTCAAAAACGAATTGTTCTTTGGCTGCTCAGGCATCTCACACGGCACGAAAAGCTCTCCAAGCGATTCCGCAGTCTGATCGGCGATTTCCGAACACATTGTGTACTTTTCCATCTGAAAAGTTTAAAAAATTGTTGTTTAAGTGCAAATTCGCTCTATTGATACCTCTGTCTGACTAGCCATATAGACACCCAATCCATGATCGGAGAACGACGTTTTTTGACACAAACTGCAAAAAATTGAAATCGATTATTTTTAAAAAATTGTAAAATTGAGGTCCTAACTTGAGACAACCAGAGAACGGGTACAAAATATATTGACACATAAGAGCCATTTTGTGATTTTACATAGAAGTTTTGGGAATTGCTCGAGGAGGCACTCAATGTGTCTGCTGGAAAAGTGTCCGAAACAAAAATTAAATCAACATTTCTCACGTAAAAATTTGATTTTCAGAATTTCAGAATCATAATACTGTAAAACCGTTGACAACTTTTTCATATTTTTGACAGGAATCGAGATAATTCAGCTCAAAGAGGAAAGTTAGGGGGCCCTTCTATTACAGGTTTTACGGGAACTCACGGATCATCAATCTCCACAGAATGTGGGAATATTTGGGACGTATTCAGAATCCTCAACGATGGAAGAGACAACATAATAATCTGTCCGGCAGCCGATAGACACATCAAACATGGATAACCTCGGATATGCGTTGGCGATGCTTTGACCAATGGAATCTCATCAAACTTCTGCACGTACAACTGACTGAACGTTGGCAACGCAACCACTTTGACCTCATTCTCAGCGGCCACAATCAGAATTTGCGAGATTTCGTCATTTGAGTCGATCGAGTTGGAGTATTGTGGAGCTAGACTTGCTTTTGTGGTCACCTGCAAGAATTTTGTTTGCGATGGAGCGAATTCACATCTTTTGGACTCACTCTATTCAAAAGCGAACGATCGGGACTTTGTGCAGATGGTTCCTTGGCTGCTTCCTTATAGGATTCCGTTGAAGGTGTAATTACACAGAACGTGTTATCCATGAATGACTGATTCAGCACTTGACCTTTCATTCTTACTACCGTACCTAAAAAATTCTATTTTAGCTCCGCCCACTTGGTATTAAAAAAATCACAAAGCAAATACTAATCACTGTTTACAGTACTACTACTACTACTACTAATACTAATGCAACAGGGTAAGAAGAGACGATCACATTTGGAATCGGGGAAAAAAAACCTTTGCAAGTGCGCTCTATTGATAATGGAGCGCACTTGTGATTTGAAAAACTAGGAACATAAGAATTCAGAAAAAAAATCAATATAGGAAAAGCAGAACATGAATATCTTTAGAGTGTACAAAATAAAGAAAAAAAACTGCAAATCAATCATGCATATCAGGGGTTTTCAGGTTGTTTGGAGAGAATCTAGTTGTGTCAATCTCGGGCAGGCGACTTTTTTTTAGATTTTTAATTTTGGTTAAAATAAGCAAAATTAGTTTTTTTAATTAAAATTATTTTTCAAAAATCATCACAAAAATAAAAGGGTAAGGATTAGGAATCGAAAATTAGAAAAAATTGGTTAATCCCACAAATGCAAAGACGCTCTACAGAGCACACTTGTTTTGTGGGACCCAACTTCTCAGGTCATTCTCTCTAACATACCGTAGTAGCAGTGTTTTCGGCCTCGAACTGAACTCCAAAGTAAGAAAAAAAATGAGAAAGTGAAGAGAAAAAAGGGAAAGAAGTTAAACTAATTGTTGTGTGGTGTTAAGCATAAGCGAGTACGCTCCATTGAGAATTTAAATTTCAATAGAGCGAACTTTGGAAAAATGTTATAGGCAACAAAGAGAAAGGAAAAACCCCGCTGTGGGTTTCGTTTTGTTAATAAAAGTTTAATATCCCAGAAATAAGGAGAATTCTACATATATAGAGCTGTTAGAGAATATGTACTGAACATGAAGCACAAACAAAAACTACACAGATATAGAAAAAACAGCTGATATGTTGTGTACAGTAACCCGGGGAAAATGTTTTGACTGTTTTAGTGAAAAATCTTTAAAATTTAGGAGGTCAAAAAGTGGGAAACTGTCTGGCTTACAGCATTCCAAAAGGCCTGGTCAGAAATCGCGCCCCAGCGAACGTGAGATTGGGACATAGGGAGTTTTCGAGCTTTTCATAGTGGACGATTTTTATAACCGTATTGCTACTGTAATAGGTACCCTATTTGCTCTAATAGAAGCCCGCCCAAACTGTCAACTTTGAGCCTAATTGTCTAGTTTTCTGTAAAAGATATCAAAACTTGGTCAACTACAAAATTGTTCATCATAATATGACAAACATTTCATTCGTTGACAAAATTTTGATACCTCTTATAGAAAGCGAGATAATTGTGCTCAAAAAGTACGTATAGGGCTATGTTACCAAACTTCTTTGTTGGTATATCTATTCAAATTCCAGTTTTTCAAAAAAAAAAGTAGTATACTAGAAAAATAACGTTCAAAAAAGGAGCTCCATTTTTGCAGTTAACAACTTTTTTTGTAAATGTCCGTCCAAAAGAGATATTCGACGTTGAAGAGTTTCTCCGTTCGCGAACTCTGGCAACACGGGCGGCGGTCCGCAGGCAGCCGCGTGGGATAATTTCGCAGGACCTTATTTTTCAGGAAAGTCATAAACTACAAAAATGAAGCTCTTATTTTGAAGGATATATTCTGAAATTTCTAACCACTTTTTCAAGTCACCAAGTGTAGGAATTTTCTCCAAAACAGTCAAAAATTTGTCTTTTTTTCTTTCTCACCGGTATACTGTATCAGTCACATACACTCGGAAAAAACAAGTAGGTGTGAAAATACGAGAAATAAGGATTTTGTTTACGGTTAGTAAAAAAGGCGTCCCGAATTGGATAGGATAGAAATGGGAAAACTTACATTCTTCAACAGCTGTAAGTAAACGAAATGTTAGATTTTATGATAGAATTTGGAAAGAAACGACACAGATAGATTACAGTTTGTGTGTATGTGTGATATGAAAAAGTGTGTGTGTGTGTGTGGAAGCGAAAGAGAAAAAATTTTTTCGTTTGGAATTTGTTAATTTTAAGGATTAGGGATAAACATCTGAAAAAGAAGAGGAAGGGGCTCACCTGATGGTGCCACAACAATTGTGGATGTGAATCTATCCTCTGGAAGGATCAGATTCAGAGCCAGTGATGTACCAGCAGAGGTTCCAACCCAAAGACATGGAGACATTTTGGAATCTGAAAGACACAAAACTAGAACTTCATCAAAATTGATTTCTTTGGATTTTTCGGATTTTCTGATTTTTTTGATTTATGAATTTTGAGAATTTTAAAAATGATTTTACGACTTGTTTGAATTTTCGGATTTTAGTTTTTTGGCTTTTAAGATTTTCTAGGTTTTTGATCCCATATTCAAATTGCTCACCATTCTTCTTCGAGTGTGAATGAATAAAAGCCAACGACGTTATCGATTCCTGCTGCTGTGTAGAAATGGATCTTTCCAATGATTGAGATGACGTGGATGGAGAAGAGGTAGTCAATTGACGGCCAGTAGTAGATGGTGACTCTCTTTGGGAATCTCCTAAATTGGAAAATAAAATTAATGTTTATTTTTCAAATATCTCAAAATCGCCCAGTTGCGTCGCTTCGATGAGATCAAGAATGATGAATGATTGATGAATGGAGAAAGCCAAATAAAAAAGAGAAACAAGAGAAAAGGGAACCTCTGCCGAATGATCCATTCTCCACTACGGATTGAGTTTTGAACAGTTGTGGCCGTCGAGCGTCGAATGAACGTTGCTTCTGCTCACTGACGATTCGTTTCGGAGCTTCCAGACTGATTGGTGACTAAAATAGGTTTAGCATAGGTTTGAGGGATTTGATAGGTGAGAGAAGTGGGAAGTCGAATTGTGAATTGGTAATTTGGTTATTTGGTAGGGATCAAAAAGGTGAAAAGGATTTTTCCGGTTGGTTGGAAACTACGGTCAACCTGTTATAGAAGGGGCCCTAACTTTAAACTTTGAGCCAATTTATTTCGGTTCCTGTCAAAGATATCAAAAAGTTGTCAACTGATAAAATGTTTTTGATATTATGACAAACAATTTACCAGTTAACACATTTTTGATATCTTTCATAGGAAATGAGATAAAGAAGTTCAAACTTGACCGTGTGAGGGACCTTCTATTACAGATTTTAAGGTCCTTTCTGAAACTAAAAATCAAAAATATTATCCGAATTTCTATGGTTCTAATGAACAAAAGTCATTCAGAAGTTTGGAAATTTCAAACAATTCGAAAATTCATGAAATTCCGACTTTTGAAATTCCATAGAACAATTTTGAAAAAATCTCATTTGTATATATTTTTGGCTGAATTCAAATATAGCCCCCACCCCAATTCAAGTATAGCCCCCCAAAATGAACCATAGTAGAGCCCCCCCCCCCCCACCTCCAACAATCTAAACACTTGCAGCAGTTCAAAAAAAGCCCCCCCCCCCACCAATTCAAATATAGACCCCCACTTTTAAATAGTCCATTCCAATTCAAAAAAAGCCCCCCACCCATTCAATTATAGACCCCCACTTTTGCGTAGTTTGTGGTGTGTGAAGGGTACCGTAACCGTCATGATGCAAATTTTGAGCTTTTTTTTTAATTTTTCTTTGATTTTTTCGGAATTTGTGTCATTTTTCACCATTTTTCCTTGTTTCTTGGGAACTTTTTCTGAAAAATACTTGTCAGCTATGTATATCTTATCAGAACTTCCAAAATTAAAACATTCTAAAATTCAGGCTTAGGCCAAAAAATGGTGGGGACCTATTTTTGAATTGGTGGTGGTCTAAAATTGAATGGGTGGGGGGCTATTTTTGAATAGGTGGGGGGCTATTTTTGAATAGATGGGGGTCATATTTGAATAAAGTGGGGAGCTCAGATAAAGTTCTCTTTTTGGGGGGCTATTTTTTGAATGGTTGGGTGCTTTAATTGAAGAAGGCAGGGAGGGGTGGGGGCCATATTTTAAGAATACCAGGTTGTTCAAAAATAGGCCCCCACTTTGTACTGTTGGGGGGTCATACTTTAATCAACCAATTCAACTTCAGCCCCCCACACCTCAGTAGAGCCTTTCAAAAACTAATTTTCTGAAGTTTTTTGGATATCTGAGTTTTTGAATTTTTGAATTTTCAAAGAATCCTGATAATCCAGATTTTCCGGAATCCCTGGGTTAACTAATTTTTTCGAACTTTATTGGTAGTTTGTACAGATTCATTCAGAAGAGATATGGGTGTCTCTTCCACGTGGTATATCTCGCTAGAGCTAATTCGTACAAGAAAGTTGTCAACTACAAAAATTTTCACAAAATTAAACCTGCAGTCTCGTAGTCGACTCTATTTTTGTGCAAATGCGCTCTACATAGATATGCCTCGGGGATTCGACCATACCGAGCCTGCGCCAAATCGAAGCTGAGCTGTCAACTTTGAGCTTAATTATCTCAATTCCTATACAATATATCAAAATTTTTTTCAATTGATGAAATGTTTCTGATATTATGATAAACAGTCTATCAGTTAACAAAATTTCGATATCTCTGACAGGAATCGAGATAATCTAATCGCATTGTTGAAATTTTTATGAATACTTTTTGAAACTTAAAGAAATTATTTTGATCTACTTTTGGAACCAGGAACGTCCTAAACACTTTCTACCCTTCCACAATTCGTTTTTTAGCAACAAAAAAAATTCTAAAAATGATGGGAGCATAAAAAACATATCAGCTAAGGACCCATATAAATAAAAAAAAGTGTTTCCACATTAAGCAAACTGAATATACATATAAAGAAAAATGACATAATAGGACGGAAAAAATGCAATAGATCATAAAAATGCAGGATATATACAAAGCGATAGATCATGAAAAAAAATGACGACAAACTTAAAAATTCAAATTCTTCACAACAATGGACATTGGAGCGTATTTGCTACCACATAAAGATTCATAATGATGCATTCGCATGATCGAGATTCGAGCGACACAACTAGCTAGCGATAGCGAAAAAAGACATAACCCAAAAAAAAAAGACTCAAACTTACCCTCTTCTGAAATATGCGAATGGAAACTTCGAGATCTCTCGATTCCAGAAGATTCGGATTCCTCTGTTTTTACTTCTTTCTTCTCTTTTGAAGACGACGATTTTGCGAATCTTCTAATAAAACTTCCTTTCACCGAATGACTCCTATTAGTTTTTTGAACTTTGGTACCCTCGTTGGGCGTTGGAGGTGGAGTCTCTCCCCGATGTTCTGGATCCGGACGATCCGTGTTTGCTCCAGAAGAATCCGATCGGTGTCCTTGATAGCGTTCACGAATTGTGGCTGCCAGTTCAGCAGTGTTTCGACGGAACAATCCCATCATTCCACCTCCACCCTTTCCACCAGCAGCTGCTGATTTTGGACGGGTTGGAATCTCTCCAGGATGTAGGAACCCTCCATTTGAGTATGGAGTCAAACTATTTCGTCCTTTGTGATGATTTTCAGAGTGAGATCTCATTTGATATGCTCCAGTGTCCGAATTGTAGATGAGCAAGTTGTCATCTCCTTCCAGTTCTTCCATCTGAAATGTTACAAACCACCAAATGGACACATGGACACACAGATAGATATATAAATCACACGAAGACCCGTGCTCACAGACATTGAGAACAAATTAACACACTTTTAAACTCAAGGATTAGCAATAATAGTTTGACCTACCTCGATCGGACTCGCTGCATCACTAATCTGCATGCTCAGCTGGATAGCTGGTGTTGGATCAGATCCATAGAGCTCGTTTGTGGTCCACGAGTAGATCAAAGCACATTGAGTGGTGTCAACCAAAGCCAGACCAGATGACGTACCTAGAAGAGTTCCTACCATTAATGGAGGTATAAAAAATTGAAATGTAAATTTTGTGGTTCTGAAAAAATAGTACTTGTCTATAAATTTCGGATAGAGCTTAAATTTTGAAATTCTTGAGAAAATGGTCAATAACGAATTCTGGAGATTCTGAATGGATTCTAAAATTCCGATTCAAAAAATTGAAATCTAACAGTGTCTTCTGATTTGGAACCTCTAAAAATCTGAAATAAAAAACATTGGGTTGCTGTAGCACTTGTAATTACTGTAGACCCGCTTATGTTAGTGGATGTGCCACGTGTCACATCTCTCTGGAGCTCATTCATTCGAAAAAGTTAGAAAAATGTAGGTCACTTTTGTTAAGTGTTTTCTGAAATTTTGAAAACACTCGAATAATTTTTGAACTACTGTTTCATGACTCCAAAATACCGTATTCTTCCCCTCCTCTCTAATAGAACGCCTGAACCTTCAACTTTGAGCACATGTATCTCAATTCCTATGAAATATATCAAAATTTTGTCAACTGATAAGTTATTTATCATAATATCACCTATCTTTAATCAGTTGACAATTTTTCGATATCATTCATAGGAACCAAGATAATTGAACTCAATGTTGAAGATTTCGGGGCTCTTCTATTAGAGGAACTGCGATATATTTTTTCTTATAAATCACACTAACCAATCGCAATGATTCCATAGGACGAGTTCAAACAAATCGTTGTAATTTGATCCACTTTTGCATGCGAGTGCCATGGAACAAAACACGCCAGCTCGGGCTGAAAATTTCAGATATTTACACATATTTTGTAGTTCAAATTTCAGCCTTTACCACGAAACCAGCTGGCCTCTTGACAGGTGCTCCACGCACTTTGAACGGCACAATTCGCTCATCTCCAGAATCTGAGGTGTCCAGAGAGTTTGTAGACTCACGGGAGACAACCTGAAATACTTTTGGTGTCTTTGGAAAGGTTGAATAGGCTCTGAAGCCTAGAAAAAGAGCTGAAAATGTGTGTGATGGTGTGATAGGTGCAGTGTGAACTCTTGTGCTACAGTAACCCTGTCCCTTTAAAAAATTCGAAAAAATAGAATCCGTACAAACAACTGTGTTGGTAAAAGTTGAAATGACAACTGTCGCCGTCCGATCTGGTAGAGCTTCTGGAATCAAATGTTGGCAAAAGAGACTTAGTACTTAGTATTTATATGTGAGTGGTTTACATGTAGCGGGATTAATAAGTACAATACTGGACAAAAATATTTCTGCATTTTTCAGTAGGAAACCCCTGACTTTTAACTTTGAGCCAATTTATCTCAGTTCCTGTGAAAGATATCAAAAAAAGTTTAACTGACAAAACGTTACTGAAAATATGATAAACATTTTATCAGTTGTCGCCTTTTTGATGTTTCTAACAAGAACCGAGATACTTGGGTTTAAAGTGGAAAGCTCGAGGGCGTTATGTTAGCGGGTTCACGGTATGCTGTTTTGAGGCTTTGACAAAAGTAGGTTAATGTTGGCCGATCTTTACCAAATTTAAGCATTATATCAAAAAAAACTTAGACCTTTTTTCAGTAATTGACAACTTTTTAGTACAAATTGACCCAAACGAGATATGCTACGTGGAAGGTAATGGTGCATTCTAGATGTATACGGCGCCTAGGAGTTTCGTGGGCTATCTCCTCGGAGCGCATTTGTACGAAAAAGTTTATAACTACAAAAATGTAAATCATATTTTGTTTAATTTGCTCTGGAAATTTCAAATAATATTGTAAACTTTGAACTATTTTTCCAAGACCTCAGAAAAACAGATACCGTAACCATCCTGGTTTAGCGTCAGTTCATTTTTAGTCAATTTAACTCGGTTCCTGTAAAAGATATCAAAAAACAATCCACTGACAAAATGTTGGTAATACTTTGATAAATATTTTATCAGTTGACAAATTTTTGATATCTCTGACAGAGACCGAGACAAATTGATTCAAAATTGGTGAATAGGATGGCGGCGGATAGGTTGAAGCCCACCATATACGTCCATTTTGAGCCCAATTATCTCGGACACTGAAAGTTATAGAAAAAAAACAGTCAACTAATAAAATGTTGGTGATATTATGATAAACATTTTATCAGTTGACAAATTTTGGTACCTCTTACAGGGACCGAGATAACTCAGATCAAAGAAGACAAGGCAAAAATATATTTTGTTTCCAGTACAGTAACAAAGTGTGCTCTGGGGGTCCAAGTGCAATTGGGTGCAATTTGAGAAGCGTTGGGTTAAAGACTGCCACGTGGTTTCACAACATCTTCAGTTTGCCTCGATTACTTACCTTTCTCTGTCTTCGAATCTCTTTTCCAGGACCATTGGGTACTGGAGACTTGTCGAAATCATAGGATGGAAGATTGTTCGAGAAATTGCCCAGAAGTGGAATATTGACCACAGCAATAGTACCACATAACTCTTGTTTGGTGAATCTGAACAGAGTGACTTGACCGGAAATTCCAGCGACTAGCAGTTGGCGGGACTGGAATAGATACTGTAGATATTGGTACTATAGGATTGCTCCTCACCTCTAAACAAAGTTCAATATACTTGACTGCATGAGAGACCTTGTCCGATGTTTCCATCTCTTCTAGTCGTTCAAAATGTGAAGAAGACTTGAGTTTGTATAGAATCTGAAGATGCTCTCCGGTTTCTTGCCAGAACTTCAGAGAACCATCCTTGTGACCTGTTACAACTAGTTCCTGATGTCCAGTGGCACATTCTCTTCCCAATCCACCGGTCACTGGCCAGGACTGAAAATTTTTGTGTTTTTCAATTATAGAATTTTAAATTATTTAATTTTTTTTGTTTCTGTCTCGTTCTACTCTGTTTTCTGTCTTTCTTTTCGTCTTTTTCGAGACCGTACAAATCGGAAAGATTTTTTTGCAGCCTGCGCATGCGATTTCAGCAAAACTGTGCACGGTTTAGCGTTCTTTCCGTTTCGTTTCTTACGGTTTCGTTTCTTTCGGATTTAAAATCTTTCCGATTTGTACGGTCTCTCTTTTTCATTTGTCTTTCAATTATGTTAATTGTTCGTCAAGTATGACGCATTGAGTGCAAATGTGCGTGATTGTGTTGTTGTTTTGTCTGCAAACACTAGTAGTTCGACGTGGTTTTGAGTTTGTAATCTTTTGTATATTTTTTCCGAGACTCATTGAATTTGAACCCAATTTCTCAAAAAAAAGACTCAACACTCAATATAAGATGCCTTCCAAGCGCCGCTATTCCCTCTACGTCTCATCTCTTCCACTCGCAACCCTGCGCCTCTACATTCTCGTCACAACTCTCGTCGCCCAACAATCGATAGAGCCGGCCAGCGCCACGCACTCCTTCTTTGCTTTTTTGCTTTTGCAACTCAATTTTCACTGAATCACTGCTCACCGACTTTTTAAAGTTCACTTTTGCAGGTAAAATGAGATTTCTTCTCGCCTCGGCGCAATTTGGGCCGTGGCTCTTGCCGTCAGCGAAGATGTTACAGTTAACAACTTCAAAGTGGGAATTTTAGCCAAAGATCAACAACCAGATGCGGAGAACTTGAAAACGTACGCGAATTCGTAGTTTTTTTTTTCAATTTTCACTATTAATAATTTTTCAGTGTCGCCATCTTCTCCAAACTCTCCTCTGGTCTTACTGCTGACGCTTCTCAACGCCTCTACGTCTCCTTCAACGTTGTCAAGAAAGCAGATAACGCGAAAGTGAAGCCACAACAAGTATTCCTCCGATTCGTCGCTCCTTCTGGTGAAGACGTGGTGCTCGTCGTGAATCCAGATGCTAACGGAAATTACATTTACGACTCTGTCCTCCGTACCGCCGCCAAATCCTTCCGCAATTTGAGTGGACAGTTCAAGATCAGTCTTTTGGTTGGAGATGTCACCATCAAGAACTCAATCAACTGGCAGTTTGTAAGTATTAGGAAGTTAGATGAGTTTCTTATAATTCTCAAATAATTTAGGCTGACATTGACGCCGCTCTCCCAACTGCTTACGAGCCAACACCAAAGTCGCAGCAAGTGCGTTATGAGCCAATGGAGGAGATCACCCACGTTTTCCGTCAACCAGAGAAGCGTCCACCAGCCTTGATTTCCGATTTGTTCACTATTATCGTTCTGGTTCCATTTGTTATTCTATTCACCTTGGTGAGTTTTTCTTTCTGAATTTCGAAAAAAACCGCTTTACTTTCCAGTGGGCTCGAATTGGAATCAACTTACAAAACGCTCCAGCCTCTGCATTCGTTCCAATCTTCCATATTGGTCTCGCCGGAATCTTCGGGCTCTACATTCTTTTCTGGATTCAATTCGATATGTTCGAAACTCTCAAATATCTCTCGGTCCTCGGATTCCTCACATTTGTCGCCGGAAACCGAGTGCTCCGAGCCATCGCGGAAGCAAAACAAAAGTCCGAATAGATTCGATTGACGGTGAAACTGGCTTTAATTTGTACGGTACCAAAAAATTCTTCTATTCGTGTCGTTACTTTAATTTATTGGATTGATTAATAATTTCAATTTTCCATTGTTCTTGCTGCTGGGCCTTTTTCTCTTTCTAGATCTGTTCTCTCTTTTGTTGTCTTGTGTTGAATGTGATATCATAAATTGCTATTTATATGTACTTCTTCTTCTTTTTCTATTCCATTTTATATTCTATTTTCACCCCCAACTCACTCTAGTGCTAAACTCCTTATTCCTTTGCTTCGTTCCGACTAGTGTAAGCGCACCGATCAAATCCAATGGGCAATCCGAATAATAGGATACACAAGTCACTGGACTTTCATGAATATTCATTGCATGTGGTGACTCGATAACTGGATGGCCCTGTTGATTCAAATCAAGAACCATGAAGTCGTGTTTTAATAGAACTGCCACAGAGTGTGGACATTGAGGAATAGAATTCCAGATATTCTGAAAATAAATTGAATTTGGTAAGATTTGCGAATATGTTAAGAAGTAAGCAAAAGGGGGTATTCTCACCTTGTTGAGGAATACAATTTGTATAATTACCTGGTTAAGCGGTATAAATTGAATAATAGGCCAGTCCATTTCCAATACGGTCGCCGATTTGCCACCTTTTAAAATAGTTAAAGCAGGCATTGGAAGACCATCATCAGTGGGCATTCCACCGGAGAACATAATAATACTCTCATTCTCACTCATGTGTTTCCATTCCACTTGTTGAATCGGACGACACGGTCCTGATCCATGAGGTGTGGTCCGTTGAATAGGCTCAGAGGCCTTCTTATTTCCATACAATGATATAGAGCCATCAACGTTTCCTGTTAACACTTGCCGTCCGTCGAAATGCCAGTTAACTGATTTTATCGGGGGATCCAATGGATATCGATCCACTTCTTTATTTGCTAGATTCCATTGTACTACTATTCCCTTATCGTACACTATCAATAGTTTCGTATTCTCAGCTGGTGATACGGCCAACTGACGAACTGGACCCGGATGCACCCGACATGAACTGAAAAAAAAAATTCGTCGGTTTTGAATTGTCAATGGAGCGCACTTTCTCTATTCGCACACTACAACTAACAAGCGCGCTCCACCGAATTCCGAATGGAGCGCATTTTCAAATGAAAATGCGGAAACAAAAAATACGAATTTATTCAATGTTTTTTTTCGATTTTTCATGAGAAAAAGAAAGTGCACTCCGCAGAATTCTCAATAGAGCGCACTTATAGATAGCTTCATTTATTTACAATGGGGCGCAATTTCTCAAACCCCGAGGAAAAAAATTCCCGGGAAAAGTGGGCAGAGTTTAATTTGCAAATTTGCCGCAAGTTTTTTAAAGCGCATTTGTATACGGTCATGAGACAAACCGTGCCAGGCTTGCAATTTAGGCTCCGCCCACTTTTCAGTTTTTTTCCTCGGAATTTTGCGAGACCTCTCTTCAGTAGTGTTCAATGGAGCGCATTTTATCAATTTGCTACCTACAACTTGCAAACGCGCTCCACCGAATTCTAAATGAAGCTTCTCCAAAAACAACGAATTGCCAATGGAGCACACTTGCTTTTTGAATGGAAATTGATAATTAGTGCGCTCCAGTCAATCTTCAATGGAGCAACTTTCTCTAGGGACGAATGACAACAAGTAAGAATTTTCGTAATGATTATCACTAGAGCGCACTAGTTGAAAATTTGCCAAATTTACAAGTGCGCTCCTTTGATAAGCATTGAATTTTCAAAAAAAAACTCACAGATCAATAGCTTTGTTCCAATTAATTACATACGGACTAAGAAGAAAACTGTTCAAGCATAAGAAATATACATTTCCCTGGAAAACAATTTGATCTTTTCATATGCGCTCTATTGCACTCCTACCTTATCGGTTCCAATATAGAGCCACTTAGCAGCCACTGGTAAATGAATACATGATACGCTTTCTTTGCTCAATTGCACTGTATGCACTATTTCGGGAGTCTGGAAAGTAGTTAAATTCTCAATAGAGCGAGTTTTCCTCTATCCAACCTTTTGTCTGTAATTCCACAAATGAATGGAATCCGTTCCACACGAAGTGATCAGACCACCTTCGTTCACCAAAAATTGCATATGAAGAACGGGTTCACCGGATTCATGTTTTAATAGATAATCGACTCCGGCGTCTCCGATTATTCGAATGTGTCCACGACCGGTACCAATTGCTATCAGGCGTTGGACCGGATCATAAGCACAACAGCGAGGATCATCGGGAAGACCGTGACGGACAACCTAAACATTATTCAGGTTACTGTAGTTTAGCTTATTGGAGTGCAATATGAATTCTAGAGAGGGGAGCACTGTAACTTGAAGCCTAATTATCCTGTAAAAAATATCAAAAAGCTTTCTAGAGGAGCAAAATTATAGCCTCAACACTAATTATCTCGATTCCTATCAGTTTTATTAAAAAGTGGTCTACCAATAAAATGTTTAAGATAATATTTCACAAATTTTGTTAGTCGAAACTTTTTCGATGACTGTATCTGGATTCGAGATAGCTAGGGTTAAAGTTACCAATTCCTTCACCTAATTTCCTTCTTTTTTGTGTCATTAAATTAAAGCTTAATTATCTCAACTACCATTAATTTTGAAAACTTTTAAAAACTTGAAAAATGTTTTTGATATAATTTTAAACATTTCATTAGTTGAAAATTTTTTGTGTGTTCTACCAGGAATCGGGATAATTTTGGTTAAAGTTTGGGACATTGTTCTTATAGAAGACACCCCAGATACTTTGAGCTCAATTATCTCGATTTCTGGGAAAGATATGAAAATTTTGTAAACTGTTAAAATATTTATCACAATATCACCAGCTTTTTATTAGTTGACAGATTTCTGATATCTAGAATAAGAACCGAGATAATTGAGCTCAAATTTTTTACCCAGGTTTTTTGGTTTTTCAATTTTTGAAAATAATTTTTTTCGGGGTACTGTAGAAAACAATTTTCAAAGCAAAAAACGAACCCTTGTAAATCTACAATGCTCCGATTGAACCTTCTCCTCAACATTGATTTCCGTCCGATTGTGCAGCGATCGAAGCCCATCTATAGCAGATGCGAATCTGAAAAAATTTAGGGTCCAGAATTTTTTTAATGTTCAAAATCACTTTTTCTTGGCTCGATCCATTCTTTCAGTTATCTTGGCAAACTGATTGTTGGCGTCCTTCCATTCGCTTTTGGAGATTTATATAAATTGGGAGTCGTCGAAGTTTGAGGTTTTCTGTAAAAAATTTTACTGATTTATTAAATATCCTTTTTTGCTGAAATTCGGAAAAAAAAAGAAGAGTGTTCATTGTAAATTATTCCAGTTTTCATTTCTTTTTTGGGTTGTCATTTTTTTCAATTTCCTTTCTCATCTAATCTCTTCAACTGTCCCTTGTGCTCTTTGTGGCCTCTATAAAATTCTAAGATTTCTAGGTCATGTGTGTCAGAAGATTCTCAATAATATTAAAAATATAATAATCAATATGACCTGACGACATACAAATAGAATATACGTGGTGAAAAAGGGAAAATAAGGCAAAATGGGAGACGGAGAACGGGACGAGAGAATCGAGACAGTACTGACTGGTAGAAGAGACGCAGACAAACATAGTGTTTGGGGTGGGGTAGTGGTAGGTGGACCGGGGGAAAACGAAACGAAAAAAAAACGATCGGTTCATTTTTCCTTTTCCGCCGTCGCCCCGTTTAGTGTGTCGTTTTTTTGGGGTGAACAAATACGAGTTTCGCCTTATTATCGGACGAAAAAAGAAAAGAAAATGATTGAATTATTTGAAGAGGAATAGAGAGAAAAAGATACCGGATTACTTTCTTATTGAGACGAAAAAGAAAAAAAAGAATCAGCAAAAGAGCAAAAACGTGCTGATTCGGTTAGAAAACTAGCAAAAAGAGCAATTTGGTAGTTTCTTGAGGAAACTAGCAATCTTTGGGGGTCTGAAAACGTCACTAGTTTCTGTTCTAGAATTCTGAAATTTCAAGGGCATATAAAACAAAAAAGTAGATTCATTTTTGCAGTTTACAACTTTTTTGTAAAATTTTGTCTAGAAGAGATATGCCATATAGAAGAGCCAACCCTATTCCCTCTAATACAACCAAACCGTCAACTTTGAGGCCAATTATCTCGATTCCTGTAAAAGATATCAAAAAGTAGTCAACTAATAAAATATTTTCCATAATTTCAACAACATTTTATCAGTTGACAAATTTTTGATATCTGCCATAGGAAACGAGACGATTGAGCTCAAAGTTAATGATTTGGATGGGATAAAAAACGTTGTCATATACAAAATAGAGCTTGATTTTGGTTTGGTAAATCTGAAAAAAATTTTGCTTTTTCAGATTAATATAATACACATTTAAAATAGAATAAAAAACGATTTTCAAATTTTACAAATAAATATTCTTAAAGGACTAGAAAAATGGAGAAAATGATATAAAGAATATCAAATTTTCATGTGGGAGAAAGGGGAGAAGAACAGGTGACATTATATGGTCGACTGGTTGAAAAAAGAAAGGGCGCGAGACTGAAAATGGTTTCTTAGAAAAACAAAAACAGGTGAATTTGTTCTCTAAAAAATTTTTTGCGGTTTTTTATCGAAAAAAAACAGGGATTCTTTTTTTGAAAAATTGTTTTGATCTAAAAATTTGAATTTTTCCTTGCCAAATCACAGTACAGTAGTAAAACCTGGAATAGTACGGCACCCACCATGTCAAGATTGATTTCAATTATCTTGAACTCAATGCAAGATATTAAAAAGTAGTCAACGGATAAATTGTTCGTCACAATACATATAAGAAGTATTTTGTTAGTCGAGACTTTTTTTGATATTTTGCACAGAATTCAAGATAATTGAGCTCAAATTTGACATTGCGGGGGCCCTTCTATTACAGGTTTTACATTTACTCTGCTAATTGCAAAAAACGCTAAATTCTCAAAAAGCAGAACTGCTTGATGTACATCCCTTGCTATCCTTGGCTCCACCTCTTTTTTCTGGCGATCTTTCATAAATCCATGTCAACCTTTCAAACCGAAAACGCTCTTTTCTTCAAACCAGAAAACGTCATTTTCTATTCCATTTGACTGATATAGGAAAAAGGATTTAAAATGCCCAGGATTGTTTTTGAGTCAGAATCTAGAGAAAAGAGGAAAAATTGGAGATAGATTAAATGTTTCCGTTTTCCGGAATATAATCAAAAATGCAATGATTGGACACTGCTTTTATTGGGGCTAGTTGATTGAAAGAAGTTAGTAGGGGTGACTCAACGTTTCCATTAGAAGTTTGGGAAATGTGAGGAGCGAATCAAATGGTCCAAAAACTGTGAGAAGCTAGATTAAAAAATCAAGGGAATCTGGGACCAAGAGACTCCAATCAGACAAAAATTGGGCTACCGACTTGAAGATAGATATCTATCGGAAATCATTCAGAATATTGTCTGAGATGATTATGGGTAATAAGGAAAAGAGCAATTTTAGAAAATAGGTCCACATGGAGAGAAGAATCGGAAGGCAGTCCAGTGATAATAAGGCAGCCTCGCAAGATAATTGGTCTAGATTTTCCCAGACACACGGAGATTTAAGCTAGTTGAATGTCTGGAAATCTTTGAGACTGGGAATCATACGGTAACAGTCAATGGTCGAAAACCAACTTAAAAATACGTTTATGTACATATCATATGTACATAAACGTATTTTTAAGTTGGTTTTCGGCCATTTCCATCAGCCTGGGGCTGGGCTGTGAAGTTTCCAACCACATTGAAAATTTCGGAGAGTGTAAAACAGACCTAAATTGAAAACTTTGCATTCACAGAGTTTTTGAAAAATCTTTTGAAAGACACCATTTTTTCACATTTTCAGTATTAAAACGGGTGTCTATCAGAAAGCAGCAAATAGCTAAAATACTAGGAATACTTGGACAAACTCTATGAATGCAATGTTTTCAATCTAGATCTGTTTTACACCCTCCAAAAATTTCAAAGTTATGGGACACTTGACAGCCGAGCTTCAGACTTCTAAAAATGATAAGGTTCAACTGAAAAATCCTTTTTTAGGCCAACCTTGACAGTGTGGGAGCCCTTTTATTACAGGTTTAAGGTATACGATAAAAAAGTTTTTACAAATTTAGTCTTGTAACTCGTTAAGATCCTCAACTTGTACCGGTACTTTCAGATGTCTGGAAAGAATTTTTAAGAACAGAACTTGAAATTTGAAAAAAACAACTCTTTCGTAATCCAGAATTCAGTACAAAACAAACTTCCCGATATCTGATTTCAAAAATTTAAAAATCTCGGAATCCGGATTCTGGAAATCTCTGGCAAGCTTTCTAGAAACCAGAATCAGTTTTGCTCTGGCTAGGTAGTATCCTCAAAAAGACGTTCTTGAAGTTCTGGACCTTCGATTTCAGGAACTTCGAATTCAGGGGAAACTGCTCTATATCTAGCAGAACCGTTACCTTATCGAGCTTAACAAGGATACCTCTAGGTTTTTAAAAAACGCAAAAAACGGAGTAGGGACCAAAAAAGAGGGGGGACTTTGGAGGGTGATGATGTTGGTGGTTCTGTCTCTCTATACACGTGGAATAGGCGAAAAAAACTTGTTCTTCTTCTTCTTCGTTTCTCTCTATCCTACTTCTTCTTCTATCTTTCCTGCCTTCAGCCTTCCCCCAACACAACAACTCCGGAAACTCACAAAATAAGTCTCCACACCACTTTTTTTTGCTACAACACGCTTGGTTTATTCTTCACTTCTACTCTTTTTTGTGTCCTATTCTCTCTTTGTCTTTTGATGATGAAAAAAAGAAAAAAAGGAAGAAAGAAAGAGACAATATAATAATAATGCTGGAGTTTCGGGAGAACAAGATGAGCACTTATAAAACTCCTAGAAGATTCAGAAGAAGCCTAGATGTCTCAGCTATTTTGAGTTTTCAGGGATTCTAGAAATTGTTCTGGAAAAACAAATGGAACCTCATTGAAGATATCTTTTTAAAAATTCGGAATCTACAAAACTGAAACTCTGTTTTTGGAGCACTTCAAAACGTACTTAAGAAATGATGGATTGCTCTAAATTTTTCAGATTAGGTCTTTTTTAGATCTAAGGAGATAGGCCATCTAGCAAGAAACAGCCAACATCCTGCTCTTCCACATGGCTTATCTCCTTCAGACAAAATTCAAAAAAAATCGTCAACTACAAAAATGAAGTGCTATTTAAGTTTGATCTACTCTGGACATTTCAAAACA